ACACTGGCACTAGATAGGGACTTTAAGGCTCCGTAGTTCCTCCTACACAGGTATTTCAGTTTTTATAGGTTAGTAAGTACAGCAACAGATTTTTCAAAATTATATGTAGAATAGCATAGCATTATTAGCATTACCATCATGTCCTTTCACAGCTGAGGTTTCTGGTTGAACTGTGTTACTACAAGAAGATTATAGAGTTTAAAAGTAACCTTAATTTACATAAATTGAAATGAAATGTCTATCTTGTGCAACATATGCATGTGTGCCTGCTCCTCTGCAAGAAAAATGCTAATACACAGCTGATAAAGAAGCGTTTTGTTCAGCTCTATTCTATTCCAATGAGAGATAGTGGGCACTGCTGGAAGACTGAACAATCAACACATTGCCACAGAAAACAAACCAGCAACTTTCCTGTCTCACAATGGCACCATTCATTCACATGTTTATTCTATTTCTCTGTCCTTCACTCCACTGCTTCACTCAGTCTTTCCCTTGCTGTCCTTCCTCCATCCATCATATTCTGTTACACATATTTTTAAATACCCTTTTCACCTCCATTTTTCCTTTATTGCCGCACATTTGCATTTACTCTCTGGACTGTACATTGGAAAAGGCCACATAACACAGACATATCTTTTTTCTTAATGCCCCTTTCATAAACCATTCCACTACTCACCAGTTAATCTCCTTCCCTTAACAGGTCATCAGCCCATAATTAAGTCTTTCTATTTTCATTTCATTCTCTTTGCCTTCACCTACCGTTCCCTCGGTGTGTTATCATTTTCATGCTCATCCAGAGCTCAGTCCTTTCAGCCCATAAAGCCTGATTCCATTATGTTTTACCAGGCCTGATTTCATTACCGCAGCGTTAATAAATGATTATTTAGCAGTGATAAGCAATACCTCAGACGTAATGAAAAGCAAAACGATAATAAAACACCAAGCCGCCTCCCCATAACAGCTCCTCTGGATGCTGCAGTGCCAATTCGACATGTAGTGATTACTTTTTATTCAAAAGGCACAGTCAAAAGGGTTGTGCCACATTAAGAATGTAAAAACACAGAACTAAAGTTGATTGATAAATCTTTTAATTCAGGGACTAACTCTAAACAACAACAAAATCTTTGTTCAGTATTTGTGGATGCTGTTAAAGATGTGCGTACTTAACATTTTCACACTGCACATGAATTAGTACATAAGACTAAGCTTTGTGTGAGTAACTGATCTTAACTTGCAGCCTTTTTCTTAGCAAAATTATACTTTCATTTTTTTCTGTATAGTTCTGTAGTTGCACCCAGGAGCTGTACACCTGTACAAGAAGCAGTAAGGCTCAAAAATGTGTGTTTGTTTTATATCATTGTAAATCTAATGTTTGGGATTTTGGACGGTCTGCAGCGTATGACACAAGCAATTTGAAGACCTCCACTTTAGAGCTGGATGCATTTCTGACATCTCATAGACAAAACAGTTCATATGAAAAATAATCCACAGATTATGATACTCTGTAGCATTTAGCAGCGTTGTTGGGTCTGCAACCAAGACTTCATTCATACCTGTAGTTTCTGTAGGTTGCTCCTGATGGTCACAGTGCTGACTTGCAGCAGTCGGAGGTAGTTTCTCTCAGACTGGACCAGCTCCTCTATGGCCAGCAGCTGCCTCTGGGCTGCCCTCTCTTTGGCTGCTGCTTCCTCCTCTTCAGACTTCTTTTTGGCCTCTTTTGCCTCCTCTGCCAACCTCTCCTCTGACATTGAGCTATCCTCTGAGAAACTATCCTGTAAGGAAAGTTTGAAATGTCTTTCCACAATGGAAGTATTTGTATCTTCGAGTCCTGAGGTGTCGGTTGGTGCCTCCACAAACACAGACACAGCCGACTCCTCCTCCTCGGTACTGAACAAATCCTCTCCAAACTGATCTTCGTCTGCCGTCCCATCCTTCTTCTCTTGTAGCTCCTCTTTCATTGGATGTTTCTTGGTGACCTTCTCCACAGCTCCGAGGGGAGATAAAGCCGATGAGGCCGGTTTAGGGAGAGGCAGTGTGAAGGAGGAGGGCTGGGGCCTCCTGGGAACCTCCATGTTGAAGATTACTGTCAAAGAGAAACACCGTTTAGACAATGTGTTTTCATGTTTACATTTTATTTTTGTACTTACTTGTGTAGAGATATTATCTGTAACAGGTTCTTTATCTTCTTCACAATCAATGTTAAGCATCTCTCAAATAGGATTTTAGGTTTTTAATTTGGACTGCAATTTTCCACTGCAAAGCATACCCATCATAAGATAAGTGTCCTGCCAAGGGCAACGGCTGCAAGGTGTCAAATTCCCTCATTCCAGTGTGGACCACATGGACCGCATATAACAATCCAATCACAAGAAATTCTATATCTCAGTCACCTAATTGTGATGATACAGCAGATGATTGAGCAGCTTTAGCATCAAACACAGAAAGAAAAAACACTTTAAAAAGTCTAAATAGATCGCTGGTATTTGGCACCATATGGTATAGAAAAATTAATATTTGGATTCTTTTGACAGATGTTATGATTGTGATATGATTCACGATTAGTGGGAATGATTATTTTTGCAGCACAGTTTTCACTTTCACTGAAAAAGCTATTCAAATCATGATGATTTGACATTTGTTGGGGTCTGTACCAAACAAACATTTTTTAACATCTGGAGAACAAGATTCGTAGTCCTTGGCATCTTCAGCACTATGGTACTTCACTATAATGCTGTTTGTCACACATCTTTAACCTTTATAGAAAATTGCAGCTTCTGCAATTTGGATATTGATCTTGGCCATATAGCAATTATATGATGGATAATATTTCAATTAATTCTCCAGCACAAGAGCTCGGAGAGATACCTCAGGCCATTGAAAATTCAAAGGCCATAAAAAGGCCATAAAAAACCAGAAAAGATAACAAGCATAGGTTTGCTTTCTGTAAATCCTCCGCCTGTATGTCTCTTCAGCATTACTTAAACAATCTTATTAGTCTGTCATTAATGTATTACATATTACAAGCACAAAACTAACATGTATGCAATGTCAAGTTCCATTCTCTACCTTTTGTTATTCACAAACCACAAAAGTGAAGACTTCTTTTTTTTCAAACATCTGGCACCAGTTATATCTTCCAAAGGAAAATTCCTAGAACTTAAGGCAGATAATGTAACATTCCTGCTTTTGATTCAAAGTTTATCACTAGGAAGCGAAGTGCTCTCATATGAAGATGGTCTTAGAACTCCATACACCAGCAGATAGCAGGCAAGCTGCAAATGAGATGGCTTTTTTTATACTGTTTACATCACACAAACATGCAGAGAGGGCAGCTGTATTGTCATGGGTCCTCTGAGCTGGAACACCATGCATTGGCCCACCGGGAGGCTGGCAAGCTGCTTACAGGGCAACTAATGCTGCCACTGCTGTGACAATTAGCCATTACATGGCTCAGCTGAACAGCCGTCTGTGGCTTTATAGAACAGACTCTAATGACAGTTTTATTTTCAAATTTGATGTCTGTGTGACAAGTTACTCATGACTGCATCAGCAAAAAGGCTCAGCGTTTCCTCCATGCATCACTGTCTGTAGGGTTGGGTACTTTTCAATACTAGTGCCTGTATGATAGCTAGGTTCCACTAATAATAACGACAATACCTATCTTATGGAAATATGTTTCTCTACGCTGCACTCTTCATAGTCTATGTACTGTTGTACTCTATGTACTATACAGACACATTTCAGTCAGTGCCGAAAAAATAGAGGTGGCTTCGTTTATATTGTCTGATATTGTAAAACATGTTGCTCCATTGCACTAAAATCTTACCTCTAGCTGCTGAATGAACGTACACACTAAAACTGTTTGTCTCTTTTGACATGGATGTGAACTTAGTCACTGACTACGGTAGTTATGTGACTGACTGATGAACTGACATGTTCTGGCAACAATGCCACACAAACAAATTCCTTTACATTGGTTGTTTATAGTGGATCTACTTACTGACAAATGATTCTCATGTTTCTCACACAGAAAAGCAAAATTATGATTTAAAACCAAACCATCTGATCAAAGAGCAAATCAGCACGATTTCAAACATGACTAGACATTTTATTGCAACTTCTGGTAATTGACGGTTTATGAATACCAAAAAGTACCGATGTTCAATAGACAGAACTCAAAGGCATTAACTCTAGTGAGATGACTATAACTGTAAGTTTAAAAAGAAAGCTAAATGAAGATATGTAGAAATGTGTAGAGGTCGGACACAACAACACCTGTCCACTGCAGTAAAAACTCTCTTTTTGTTGTTATTTTAAAATCCTGGATTCTTGTTTCAGTCTTTTTGTTACATTTGATTTTGTTTTACGGTTTCATTATATATACACATGCTCAGCTGCCAGTTTTTTGGCTAGCTCAATTAAGACAAATGCTGTCAAGTACAGCAGTCCTTCATTAAGTAATACCTTCATGAATGTTCAGTTTTTGTTCAGAGGAGTTGATTCAACTGTGGTTCTGTTCAACTGCAGTGGGGTTATACTGAGAGACCTTAAAATGTTTTAATTGATTCTTCAGTCCTATTTGTGGTTATCATTATCAGCATGGCTACACTGGCTTGCCTTGTGTTTTTCGGGCGTTTACCACCTGTGCATCACTATTTAAATACGTTATTGTGACTGTTGTCATTCATTTTGATCTAATCCTACCACACGGATTTATCTTTTCCCTCCAATTAAAGGTTTAGGGGGTTTAGCAGCATATGGTGGCCGAGAGTTGGGGATAACTGAGATTTACAAGCAGAGCTGGGTTTTAAACTTTAACACTGTTTTTAGTACTAATGGAAATCAATCTGCAGCAATGATGGAAAACTGTATCAAAAGTTCATTATTTAAATCAAAATCTTGCCTGAAAAACTAGTTTGTTTAGGAAACGTTCCTGACAGCCAGAAAAGTTCTGCTTGTGTTCAAACAGAATTTGACATCTGAGAACTTTGACATTTTTAAATAGAAAGGTAGCTTGTAGAAAAACATGTTTAGAACTCTACAAGCAGTATAAGCCCTTTATAAGCCATTACAACAACCAAACAGAGCAAACAGATGACTCTCAAATAACAACCTGACGCAAAAACTTTCTTTACATCCCAAAACAAGTGTGTCAGAGCTCCAGACTGAAACATCTACTGCCCACAAGCCAAACCAAAACCACACCAAACCTAACCATCCTGACGACGGCAGTGTGTATCAGAGTGACAGAATATCATTAGAAACATTTACATGAGATCAGGCTATCATTACCTTTTGCAGAACCCCTGATTCAGCAGCAGTGAACCTCGATCTCCCCTCTCTCTCTCTCTCTCTTGTTGTGCTCTGTCCCAAGTGAAGCAGAAATCTGCTGCAGAGACGCTGCTGCTGCATTGAAAACACACACACACACACACACACAGGCGTAACTTTCTCCAGTGACTCACACACATCAGGCTGCTGCTGGGCCTGCATGTGGCAGGAGTGTGTGAGTGTTTATTCACGAGTGTGTGTGCGTGTGAGAGAAAAACACAGCGTATGAGTGTGTGAGGAAAGGGGGGATGGGAGTGGAAAGGAGGGTGGGCTGGCTGTTTTGTAGAGGAAAAAGAGGGGAGGGGGAGGAAAGGGTGGCCACACACACACACACACACACACACAGAGAGACACACACACGCACACTCATGCTGCTGAATAAGCTGATTGACTGCAGCAGCTGGTGGGAAGAGGAAGTGGCACTCACCCAGGCAGATGCTGATTGGCTGGCAGGTCTTCACAGTGGAATGAAGACCCAATGAGACGACACCTGGAGAGGTTTCAGGAAAAACTGGACGGACCAATGAGAACTGAGCGCTGAAGTGATTGAAGTTTTCCTCTCACAGGAAACAAAAGCACTGCGGGACGGCCCATCCTCTTCCAATTGAAAAGAGATTGTGTGGATTTTCTGGTGGAAGGAAACAAAAAGAGATTTACTGCTCGGAGATAAAAGATTTATGTAGGTTGAAGTTTATTTCAGACAGACAATTAAACAAAGCATTAAAGAAAGTGAATGTCCACTGAGGAGCAACTAGTAAGCCCAGGGGTATTCAAATAAAAGTTAAGTCCACAACACAGCCATTTACTTCCATTCACTATTAAAGGGCGAGTTCACCCAAAATTTCACCTAATAAGGTACCCTACTGTGAAAATGGATTTACTTTAAAATGGTGTTAGAGATAGCTGTCACAATACAGTGCTGATTAAAGCATTTAAAAAATGCATCTGAACACCACCAAGACTCTACCTTTATGCTAGCAGCTGTGTGAGACTGTACTGACATAAATGACAATACTAACAATTGCTAATTACCACTAACCACAAAGTATAGCTGAGATGTGGAATGTCATTAGTTTCACAGGTCCTAAAACAAAGTATTGAACAAATTTAAATTTTGAGGTGATGATGGTGCAAGATGGAAAGTTAAAGGTGGAGTAAGTGATTCTGGAAAACTCCAAAACCAGAATAAATACACTGATATAGTGTGAACGACGACTAATGTAAATAACTTATATAGCTATGTCGTGGGTTTACAAACTGTTGCAGCGCAGCTCACATGCAGAGAGGACAGAACCACTCGAGACAGCGATACTCACAACTCTCCTGCTACTGCTGCCACATCACAAGAACAGCTAACAAACTAGAAAGTAAGCTGAATGTCCGTGGGCAAGGCATTTTACCTGACACACAAGTCCTGGCTGGAGTGGTTGGAATAACAAGCTAGTGTTGTGTGGTTCGGTCCAATCAGAGCCAGAGCTGCGTACCAACACCAGATTTTTTTCAGCGCACACAAAGTACGGAAAGCTAGCAGGCCATGAGGAAATATTCACTATACTTGGAAAAGGGGGAACTGCATTAGAATCACATTACCTCAAATTGCTTACCCTACCTTTAAAGGATCAGCAAAAACCTGACGTTTATCTCTGAAGTTGAACATGTGGCCTGCAGCCTGGTAAAATGCTGCTTTTATGACACGCAAACACATTCAAACAACAGTTTAACTTTCAAGGTGTATGGGTCCCCATACAGCAAATACAGCTTCCATGGTCTCATATGATTAGTTCAACACCACAAGATCAATCTGTCATCCTTCACGATAGACATCCTTTCAACACAGAGAATCTGTTGTTTGATACAGTGCAGACAGGCATCTTTGTTTAGACTTTAGATATTTTTTTAGAAGATGCATATCATAGCCTTTATAAAAGGTTTGCTGAGTCATACAAGTATTTTATTATTGATCAACTTTCGATGATTCAACAGAGCATTTGTTATCTTAGTGTGTCCGATGAGCCCTGAGAATAATGACAATGAGATGTTTGCATGAACCTGAGACAGTGATGGAATTCATTGCGGTCAAACTCGATTAGTGTGGAATGAGAGAGGCAGGAAGGCAGCGGATAATCTGTTTCATTAGATCGGCATGTCAGGGAGGAATGCTGCAGGACAGGATTCCTGCATCAGCTGACTTGTGTTGATCTGACGACAAGGTGTGTTGCAGAAGAGTAAGACTTCTGCCAAGTGACGATGACATGTATCCAACTCTCTACAGAGACCAATGAGAGCCAACATCTTTCTCAGAACCAAAACCTGCCTGTCCAAGAAGAAATAGGCTCGATTCCTAGAAAGCACTCAGCATACCTCTGCCAAGACTGAGCTAACTTCTGAAGCTGTTACACTTTTTGTTATTGTAAAAAAAATCGGATTTAGTCGCTAATATTGGCTTATTGCGGCTATATCGTACCTGAGTGTAAGTCGGCCAATAACTAACAAGAGTTTGCGTACAGAAAAGCCAAACAATGTTTGAGGTCATTCAGAAACAGCGACACCATTACATTGTCTGCCCACCAGAGAGCACTTTATTTTATTTTTTATTTCATTTTTCACTTGTAAAATATCCCGACCCTGCAGCGGCCCGGGTTCGAATCCGACCTGCGGCCCTTTGTTGCGTGTCATCCCTTCTCTCTACCCCCCTTTCCTCTCTGTCTTCGGCTGTCCTATCAAATAAAAAAGGCATGAAAAAGGCCAAAAAAAAAACGTAAAAAAATAAAAAATGTCCCGACCAGAATGCATGATAAAATCCTATTTTGAGGTCACAGTGAACTTTGAGATCGAGTCAAAAGTGTCACTAATTCAGTGTCTGACCAACTGTGAAATATGGTCACAAACTTCTGTTTCTGATGTTAAATAATGGCGTTTTTCCAGCCATTATATCACAGTGAAGTTGACCTTTAGGTAAAAAGTCACCACTTCAGTATTATCCCATTAAACATCTGTGTGAACTTTTGTCACAACTGCTGCATCAGTTCTTGGGTCGTGGCAAAAATGTGTTTTGTGGTATCACAGTGACCTTTGACGAGGCGTTCCTGAGATACTGAATTCACAAGAATGGGACGGCCAGACAACGTAATGCTTCTGGCCATGGCTATTATCGCAGCAGAGGCGTAAAAATCATTCACACCAAAAACCAATCACTCGTTCCTTGCTCAAGATATTAACTTACAGAGAAAGTTCATCAAGTCTGTCTGCATGTTTTTAAGATATCCTGCAATCTCTAAACAGGACCAAGAGCTTAATGTCCTTGATGGAGATATTAAGAAAGGAGTGATGATAAAGCAACTCAGCCTTAGCTGCTGTTAATGCCCTTCAGCTGCAGCAGTCTGAGCACAACAAATATTTTAAAATCTCGTCGATTTTGATTCAGGAATTTCAATGGCTGAAACATACGCAGACATAATTGGCAATTTAGGCTGACGATCTGTACACTTTTCCATGAATGACTGCACTTGTACAAATCTTGCATAACACATGCTGGGTCATGGTGTCAATCACTTGTTGTTTTAAAGTTGGCATGATGTCATAACAAGAGTGGGAAGTGAAAGAAGTGTTAGAGCTGGGTGGAGTGGCTGAAAGGAGGCTAAATGTAGATCCCTGTTCACAGTAATTGCAAGGTTGGTCCAGCTCCTTGCTTCTGAAAGTCCATTTTGTTCACATAAACACATAGCCTGACTTTGGTAGTGCGCTAGAAAGAAACCATTACATTACAGTATTTTTTATCAGGCACGTGACGCCGGCTACAAGATACCAGAAGACTTTGATCCTGCATCAGTGTTGACATTTCCTCACCTGGAAGTCAGCAAATCTGTTAACGTCCCATAACAAAGTCTTCCTGCTGTGTGACACGCAGCTGAGGAGAAATGACACGGCTGATAAAGAAAGCAGTGATGATGACATCCTGTCTGTTCAGTCAGCACCAAACATCCTCCCCGTTCAATCCGCTGTTTACCACGTCATTACCCGCGATGAGGGAAGAATTCTTTTAAGATGACTGTGAGTAAACGCAGATGAAGGGTGCGATCACACCTTCACTTCGCTGTCTTTGGTCTGAACTGTAGCGGGTATGTTTATGTTACTGCTGGATCAGTTGCAGTTTCGGTATATTGGAGTCACACTGGGGTCGAGATATTGGCAGCGAAAAGTGTTGAACAAATTCCAGTGAATGAAAATATCTGAAGAGAGCAACATGACGAGTGAGTTTTTTCACTATTTTTATGTGTACCGGAGGACAAACAAGTTACAGCACTAATACTAATCCTACCCTAAAAGAAATATGTTGCAGAAGAAAAGAAATATGTAACTGACAACTATATGCATCATATATGCAAGTAAGCTGTGCAAGATAACAAGAAAAAGTCAGCATAACTCATGTGGCTGCAAACTGTCCACAAACTGAGTGGAAAAACATGTTCCTCCACAGGGGAGTCAAACTAATTGGATGTTTCTTTCTTTCAAATGTCGTGGATAACCCGTGGACTGATGTTGAACTGATCACAGACTGTCAACCAGAAGCTGTGATATTACCTGTGGGCGTTAGGTTTCCTCTCTCAGTGCAGTTCCACTCAGGACACCAAAACCAGCGGGAGGAGAAGGAAACGTCGTGGCATGCTTGGCTTCCTTATCACTGTAGAACTGAAACAAACAAAATGCAGAGAGACTAAACATCACTTCTCACATCCGTGTAGCAGTGTCTGTCCTGGAAAACCACCAGCTATCTCCCATGATGCTTTACAGCTGGCCTTCCTGTCTGTCCCACATACTTTACATGAGACAAGGAGATCTGAGTTCGAGGACGGTTGTACACACAGATTTCACGGGTAGCAAGGCATGAAGATGACATACTGTACTAGAACAGCGTATAATAATAAGGTGCTGGAAACTGGAAACACATGTTTATGGATAACTGCACACAAATGGGATGTTTCTAAGTTTAAACCCAAAAGAAGATCATTTCTAAGTTAAATATGTGCACATATCCCTCATAACAATCCATGTGCAACAGGTGGACACATCACAGCAATGTCATCCATCCTCAAGCCCCCCCCCCTGCTGTGAATGAACGGTGTCCATGCAAGCAGCCCACCATAACACAACACATAACAGCGCCTTAGTGTAACGTTATAGAGCCCGCTTTATTTAATGAAGCCATAACGTTATCTTCTGGGGTAATAAGTGACAGCACAACAGCACCTGGCCTAGCTGTTTTGATTCAATATGAGGGAGAGGAGAGGAGCCCGGCGAAAATCCTTCAACACATTCATTTTTAATGCCTTCAAGCATTTTCTTAACTCACTTGGTCGACATGTCTGTGGGAGGATTTTACACCAACAATATATCTCGTTAGCAAACCGCCGCAGAGAGAGATAAATAGGCTTATTTGGTTTAAGGTTGAGGAATAATGCGGTCTGTCTGCTGCCTTGTGTTCGGGTAAAGACGACAGAGAATGACACAGAAATAGAAATACATGTGATAAAACGTTTACCTTTCTGTTGCCGTCCGCCGTGACGTGCTGTGCCGTGTTTCTGACGCTGAACTCTCGTTCACCTGTTGTCAGCCTGCAGCCTGTCAATGTGGCGACAACAACACACCGACACGACGTCCGGTCAGTACTTCACAAAATAAAGGTCTTCTAAAAGCGGCAACATCCACGCTGTTTTCAGAGTAAAAGCCCAACACCAAATATGCTGCTTTGTCAATTTAACAATAACACGAATAAAGAAATCATAAACAAGGAGCTAGTAATTTGTATGGAATATAAGTAGATTGGAAGGAGTGGTATATATTTTAATTTGAGCTCGTAGCACCAGTGGAGGAAAATGTAGCATTACAGCACCACAGAAAGTGATCTATTAAAAAGATAAGAACAGGATGTAGATGATTCAATAATTTATATAGATACATATATATTACTTATAAATCAAAGTCAGAAAGCTTTATACAGTACAGGACATTGCCCTAAAACAGTGTGCACACACATACACATGTAAAATGGTGCAGTTTTCAGATATTCTGGATCAAATTTTGTGTGATTTGTATGTGTATATGTATATTTGTATTGTTTATGCACCAACGCACCAAGTCACATTCCTCATAGGTGTAAAACCTACTTTTCTATAAACAATTCTGATTCTGATTCTGATTCTGAAAGTATATCTTTTTTTATGTCATACACAACTTCCACTGACTAAATTCCCATAAATACAAATATAGTAGCCTAATATATACAAATTTATGAGAGCAGACAGAGGAAACGTGCCAAGGAATAAAGTCAAACAATATACACAGTGTACAGGCGGCTGTTTACATCCAGTAGAAACTAAAGAAAGAAAGTTAGAAATTCTTGAGTTAAAGTTTTAATTCATGATCTAATAACTCCTGAAGATACCTCGGGTCTAACTCCTCTCTTACTTCCTTACTTTCTCATAATGTACAGTTGTGATACAGCCAAGTAAAAAGAGGAAGTAACATTTGTTGTTCTTTCTGACACAGTTCATTTTGTGGATGGGATTATTTCAACTATAGCCCAGTTTTTCCATGGCTGTATGTTTACTCCAGGACGCCAGGGGGCGTCACACTGTCTCCTCGTGTAACTGCGACAGAGGTGAAAGGTTGTGAGTCTGACAGCGCCACATGCATGATGTTGTGTTGTTGATGCTGGACATTTAAAAGCTTTTACCGCTTCAAGCTGTTTCTTCTCGGTGGGTTTTACAGTTTTCTTCCTGTTTTTGTGACGTTTCGAAGCTGTCATTTCCCGTTTGGGTAATTGAATTATTGCAGCTCAGTATCAGGTCGCTGCTTCTAGTTTAAAGGTAAGCTAGCTCATTCAGTTCCATTTTCGGACAGCCTGTAGTTAACTTAGTCTTTCCTAAAACCATCACTTATGTTCCTAAACCCACAACAAAGTGGTTATTTACACTGTAAAGTACTTTTGAAGCTGCACCGTTACTGTCGGTTAATGTCCACTGTCTGACTTTCGGCGGAGTGATACAACGTTACTGATGCCTTCAGGGAACTGTGTAAGCTGTTTACTAATGTAATAAGGGGGTTGCATCCAGGTTGTGGGTTAAAATGGAAAAGTGTCTTACAGGGCTGTGTCCGATAATGAGAGAAGTCCAGAGCTACGAAGGAAAGCAGATAGTTTTGTGAATCTGTGGCATTCTCGTTTACTTGAAAAATGACTGAGACAATTGAATGAATTTAATTTCCTCAAACAGCAACAGCCCAATCCAGGGGAGACATTATATGAACAGGGCTGTGCAAAAGACACATGTATCTGATGATACTATTTTTAAAGAATTTGTCATGTTGCTTTTAAATGATATTTCACACCAGGAAAACTGGAAAGTAACCTTCCATAGATACGATTGGTCAAGCAGGTAGAGGCCTTCACTGTTCACTAATGTAATGGGTTCAGTTCAAATAACACAAATCACAGAAAGATTTCTGGTGTTTTAATTGCAGTATTGCTATTGTACTGCTGTACCACTCAGATGTATTATTAGTCAATCTTCAGTACTGTACGTGTTTGATTTTTTCCAGGTGTTTTGCAGCCTCAGGCTCGGTGTGTTGTCAGTCTGTCCTGAGGTGAAATGCGGAACTTGAAGCTGCTGAAGAGCCTACGGAGCTCGGAGCTGCAGGGTCCAGGCTCCCCACAGTGTTTCGCTGTGCGGGCTGACACCGGCTCGCTGCTGGTCGCTTCTCACTACTCCATCACAGAGTACGACCCCCGAACTGGCCAGGTGAGCTGGGGATGACACACTGTACGTGTCTCTGTGCCCCCGCAGGAGACGGGGTTCCTCAGTACTGGCTGATGAGAGCAAAAATTGTGCTTTTTATTCCATTTGAAAATCACTATAGCTCTGTTTCATCATTTGTTTTAGCTGTACCTCATTAAGGATAATAATGTGTCTAAATTAGAATTTAAAAGAAGGAAAGGTGCATGGTTTCAAGAGTCCTCGTTATAAACTACACATGAAGTTGAAAGTTGGTTGACTCATCATTAACTTTCCTCCATTCCGCTCTGCAGGTGGTCACCGAGGCCTCGCTGACAGCCGAGGGTTTCCTCCCGGAGGATGGCAGCGGAGTGGTGGTCGGCCTCCAGGATCTGGCTGAACTGGAGTCGGCATGTTTGGCCACGGCTGGTGGCGACGTCGTCCTCTTCAACCTCAACACCAGCCAGGTTCGCAGCACAGAGGCGCTGGGAAGTTAAGAGTTAGTTTTAGGTTAAGGTCAGGATAACGGGGCGAGGGAATGCATTATGTCAGTGAGGGTCCCTCACAAAACGTGTGTGCTGGTGTCCCACAGTTGGAGTGCTTTGGCAGTGTGGACAGCGGCCTGACCTCCATGAGTTGGAGTCCTGATGAAGAGCTTGTTGTTCTCACTACTGGTCAGTATGTTATATTGATGTCAAAAACGCATGCTATACAAATAGAAGCATTTTTAGTTTTAAATCAAAAGCTTCCACCTCAAGTCAGACAGAGAGCTGTCAGTTTCTAAACACTAATAATTTGTGCTCACAGGTCAGGAAACGATTATCATGATGACCAAAGACTTTGAGCCGATCACTGAGGTCGGAATCCACCAGGATGACTTTGGTGAAGGTACGGTGGCTTCAAATAGTGCCTGACCTGAGGTGCACGAGATTCCATGGTTCATAGAATGTGGAAATATTGGTAATATAGCTGAATGATCTATTGTATATTATGTGCTTTACAGGGAAGTTCATCACTGTGGGTTGGGGAAAAAAGGAGACTCAGTTCCACGGCTCAGAGGGGAAACAGGCAGCACAGAGGAAGGTCCAGGTGAGTGTTCAGCTGCAGACGAATCATAGCTTCAGAGCAAACACAAATGTATCAAAATGTTGAAAATGAATGCAAAATGTGTTTTATATGAGAATATTTGGTATGATGCGCCCACAGGAGGTGCAGCCGGCCGCAGCCTGGGACGACCGCAGGCCGAGGGTGACGTGGCGAGGTGATGGTCAGCTGTTTGCTGTCAGTGCCATATGTCTTCAGACCGGGGCCAGGAAGGTCCGCGTCTGGAACAGAGAGGGCGTCCTGCAGGCCACCAGCGAGCCCATCAATGGCCTGGAGCAGGCGCTCTGCTGGAAGTACGACTGCTACCAAAGCAATTTTCCCCTTCTATAGTTCATTAAAAAATAATTCTGTCCACTATAGCTTTCAACAACTGTACAAATGTCTGAAAGAAACCCTCTTCTGGTGTTTCAGACCGTCAGGCAGCCTGATAGCGAGCACCCAGCGTCATCCCAACAAACACAGTGTGGTTTTCATGGAGAAGAATGGACTGCTGCATGGAGACTTCACCCTCCCATTCAGCAAAGACCAGTCCAAGGTACATTCAGCTATTGACATTAGACATTAATATCCAATAATGAATGATAATAGTGATATTTATTTTTCACAACCAATACAAAACACTTTGATCGATGTGTGTGTGTTTCAGGTGAAGGATCTGCTGTGGAACAGTGACTCCACTATTTTAGCAGTTTGGTTGGAGGACATGTCTGCTGGAGAAGACAAACAAGTCAACACTTACAGTGAGTTCCCCTCCCTCAGGCCTATCGGTGTGATGTTGAACATGTTGGACCACATCAGTGGCATAAAATCCGTGCCAATCCATCATTCCTCCTCTGATGTTTACATGAAATGCAGTTTATTCTGTGTCATCAGGATTTGGAGGAAGATGTTTCCATGGCTTGCTTATAGAAGTTTGCAGTTATGTTACTGAAAATGCTAAAGATAACACTGTCAAATCTGTCTGTCACTATGCTCTATGTATTTACCCTTAAAAGTTTGCAAAAAGATTGTGTTTGAGCTGATCTTTTTTTACCAAATTATTGCCTTTCATTGAATGGAATTTGGAGTATTTGGTTCAGGAGAAGGAGAAGGAAATTAAAAAAGCAGGAAATGAAATGTGTGAACCATTTGGTCTCAAGGAACACATTCTGTAATTGATGAATGCCTGACTCAATTTAATAAGAAAAAATATTAAGGGTTGCTCCCTGGAATACCTGGAAAATTAGATACTAGTTTTACTAGTTTAATTAGGAACTGATCTAATTTCTAGACCTGCTCTATTTTTAAATGTGAAGTCCCCTTAAATGTCTCCATGCTGCCTCTGCAGTCCAGCTGTGGATGGTGGGCAACTACCACTGGTACCTGAAGCAGAGTCTGGACTTTGGCAGAGACTCTCAGAAGGCTCCGGCCTGTGTCTGCTGGGACCCTGAGCGCCCCTTAAGGCTCCACGTGATGACCCGCAGCTGGACCAGCATCACCTACGACTGGGGCTATACCACTGAGAGGAGCCCCGGGCTGGACGCTGCCGACAACGCCAACGTGGCCGTGATAGATGGAGGTGAGAGCCAATGAGACGAGAGGACGTTTGCACAACAGTAGGATGATTCCAACACGATGTTAATATTTATTGAAACCCCCTCAGATAAGATCCTGGTGACGACCTTCAGACAGTGTGTGGTTCCTCCTCCCATGTGTTCGTTTGAGCTGCAGCTGGCCTCACCTGTCAACCAGGTGACCTTCCTCTGCCAGCCTCAGAGGACCAATCAGCTGGCAGCGTTGACGTCTGACGGACAGATCTCAGTCTACAGCCAAGGTGGGTTATACAATGTTTCCCTTAAACTGTTAGAAGGAATGTGAGTAAAATCAAGCGCTGAATTATTGAATCCCTCCCCTGATTTTCTCAGATTGACAGATAAGAATGTGAGTAAATCCAGACTCACTACAGGAAACAACGGCAATAATACCCAAGGGGTCTTGGGGAAAAAGGAGACATTTTCCTTTTTTTTTTCTTCGTGTTTTAAATTGGCACAAAGACTAATGTGTATCTGTTTGTTCTGTATGTAAATATTAATTTGATTATTGTTCCGTTTACCCTCCGATCCGTCCAGATTCAGAAAAACAGGCCGACAAAACAGCAAATGGGTTCCGCACTATGTCTCGTCCCCTGGTCCTCCAGAAATCCCTCAGGTAACGCAGAATCCATCAGTTCTGCTTCCAGTGCTACATGAAGTATGTTGCTGGTATTTAGCGTGCAGGCTCAAGATGCTAGCAGTCTGTTTAATGTCTGCTCTTTTTTCATAGTTTACTGGCATTTCTCCGATATTCCCTCTGATTTTCCTGCTGTCTTCCCGCAGAGTGACGGTTCTCCAGGAGGAGCCTCTGGCCCTGCGGCAGCTGCTGTGGCTGGAGGACGAGTTGTTTGTGGGCGTGAGCTGCGGTCTGCTACCGACCTCTTCCACCATCCTGATGCTCCGCCCATCTCAAGATGCTGACGACACACTCACCGTCAGGTCAGCAGGGCTGAACTGAAAACACTGCGGTCTCCATGAGCCTAGTCATTGTCCTGTTAAGCTCACAAACAAACTGAATTGCATTGAATCCATCAAATAGAATTTTTCTGCAGCCATGTCAAGACTGTGTTTTTATGTTTCAGGTCTGAGACGGAAGTGGACGGTGTTGTGGTCAGCATGGTTCACTGCTCCCAGACTGGCACTGTGGCACTGCAGCTGGAGGATGGACAGATCAGGAAGCTGCTCTGGGGTCAGTCAAGAACACTCTTCTTCTGCGGCTGAATTACGCGTTCTGATAAGTTTTGTTGGGAATCTATGAATTCAAGATGTTTTATTTGATAATCCAAAAGCACACTGCAGCACACAGAGGCCCTGACTGTCAGCCTCTTAGATAAGATGCTTTCTTCCAAGTTCCATTGAGCCTGGTAGAGTCATGCTCTGTAACAGGGCATTCACAGTCAGTAAATAAACTGAAGATTTAACCTCATACATTTCATCTGTTAGCAGGAAAAATACAGATTAAAATATTCCTCAAAAATTCATGTAAAAAGCATTACCTTACAGAAAAAATCTGTTATTTTTTTACATTTCTGTGCAGACTGTCCTGAACCGTCTGTGGAGGATTGGCGAGACTCCAGCGGATGTAGCATCAACTTCCCTGTCCTCTGCGTTCAGACAGCCCTCTGCAGCATCAGTGGGGAGGTAAACACACATACCTACAATTACCTGACTAACGATAAGTCAGTTCTTGTGTACAAGCCTAAAGGTTTCCCCTTTGCTTTGCCTTTATGTCTGCAGGAATGTCTGCTGGGCCTGACGGACAGATCCCACCTGTACGCTGGAGACACAGAGGTATGCTGGCAACTTCATTTTACCAGTTCTACACTCATCACGAGACGGGGTTCATGGGAAGTGTGTTCATTTACGTCTGCTTCTTTCTCAGCTGGCCTCCAATATTTCCTCCTTTGCCGTCTGCAACGACTTCCTCCTCATCACCACACACTCCCACACCTGCCGCTGCCTCCAGCTGAGCATGCTCAGTGTCAAAGGTACACACACACACACACACACACGCACACAGAACAGTCCTCAGTTTGTATCTGTTAAAAATGCTAAATATGCAATAATTCACTGATATTCAAAGTTGATGTCATTTATCTCAGATTAAATCCAGTTTGATATTTTTAATTGAGTGAAAGTGTATGAACTATGAGTGGCAATAGTTAAATTGTAAATATCATTTGATATTTTAATTTCAAGTTAAAACGAATGTCCAATAATTATGTTTACTGCCATATGCCCAGTCATATGGGACAACTACTGTATTTTTACCTCCGTACCAGGGTCAGTGTCAACTCATGGGTCCATAACCGTGTAAATAATAAGCTTATTTCTTCAGTTATTGCTTCTAAAGAGGTTAAGTACAGTGTCTTTGGGGCACAGTAGCTGCTCAGATTTTTTTACAACAGCTTTGTCGTATGCTGGCCTCTGGTTGGCTGCTCCTACAGGTAGTGTGCTGTCTGTCTGCGATTTTCCATCCTTCTGAAATGAGCAATGAGGTTGGCGTTGTTGGTAGCTGTTATGGTACAGCTTATGTGAATGACCTTTGACCCCGCAGGGCTGCAGGTGGCTTTGGCCTCAGATGGAGGTCAGAATGATGAGACTCTGCGGCGGGTAGAGAGAGGATCCAGGATCGTCACCGTGGTCCCACAAGACACTAGAGTGATTCTACAGGTCAGTTTAAAACGCACACACATACACACACAC